AACAACAACAACAACAATATTATAATAGCATTTATAAAGAAGTTACATCATGTATTGCTAAGACATGCATGCATGCACACACACACATCCGTGTATATATTTAACTCACATATCCTGTTCAAACGCGTAAGCAGAGAAGAGGGTACCATAAAGTATGTGTTTAGGGCCCTCACATGCCTTAATCCAGCCCTGCCTTTAGTAGTCTCCAGCTATTAGAATTCTCAGTGCGTTTTGCCACAGAAATATCGTATAGCTAAGTATAGTTTTGGGTGTGAAAAATGGATTAAATGACCTTTGAGTGAACTGGCTTGGAAATATAACCACTAGAATCAGTGCTCTGAGAAGTAAATACATTCTGACTTCTGATTTAAACAATTTAAACCAATAGTTTGAAAATGCCTTGTGGATCACAGTCCATTAGTAAGTGGGAGTGCCTATATACCTAAAACTATTAATCACGTCAAATGGGTTGTTTGATATTATTCTTTTACTAATAGTTTTATTTATTTTTGTATTACCACTAACAAAAGACGACCTCAATAATAATGAAGAATGTAGACTATTATCTAATAATTTTCACATTCTGCCTATTTCTCAAACATTTAGAGCTCTTATAAAATTTTACTACCAGTGTTAGAATATATCAAGTCAATTATTCTTCCTTCAACACAAATGGAACTTTCTGGCAGTCAATAGCAGCTGCGTCTAAACATCAAAGCAAAATACTCTTTATCTTAAGTAAAAGCTAGTCTTAATTATGATAGGGACTTAAATCACATTTAAGCGCAGTCTCTGAAGGTTTTGGTATGGGAAAATTGCCTTGAGCTTTGGTGCTTGCTTGCATCATTCAATGTATCAGGGTGATTGAGGGCATTTTACTTAACCACCTGGAAAAATTAGGCTATGTTCTTTATACTTTAATAACTCATTATAATTAATGACTCTGTAGTAGCACAGCTGTGACAGAATCAGCTGGAGGAAATCAGAGCTGAAAACTCCACACATTCTATTATCTCTAGTTCACAGAAGTTCTGGAATACATCTCTGGGCTTAGATTTCATCAGCTGATTTCTGAAACTGGCACTGAACTCATCCAGATCTCTTCCGAGATAACAATGGTATAGTTTTTCCTGAGGGAAGGCCACTACTCCTAGGATTGTTCTCTCTAGAGCATTCACTGCATGCTAGTCATCTCCTGGAGTCATGCCAAAAGGGGTTCCAAATTCCCCTAGGCTGCTAAAGTGGGGAAAATAAGACAAGTTAAAAGTGGGTTCTGGAAGTTGAAAGTGGGCTCTAGAAGTTGAGTGGTCCTATTTTTATGACAGACCACTGTGGGAACTACTTCAAGGTGGTTCTGCTCTAGAAGCAGAAGCTGAAACCATTTTTCTTTTTCTTTTTTTTTATTGTGATTTGGGTGAAGATTTACAGAGCAAATTCACTTTCCATACAGCAGTTCACATTTACTTTGTCTCATGTCATTGACCACAGTTTACCACAATGCAACAGCTCCCCTCCCACTTC